ATGAGTTCAGAGCCTCAGACAAATCAAAGAAAAGGGACCTTAAAAGGCATTCCCTTTCCTTCTTCCATTTTCCAAAGCAGTAATACTCAACCCTGACTTAGAATCTCTTGGAGCACTTTTAAAAATATGAATGCTTGGGACCCCAGATTGATTTCATTGGCCCTAGTTTTTTGTTTGTTTGTTTGTTACTCTGAGAAGAATTTTAGCTTGTAGCCAGGATTGAATAGCTCTAGTCTACAGGGGGGGAAAAAATCTAAGCTCTTCATCCTGGTTGCATTCAAGACTCCTAGTTATTCCTGTCCTAGACTCTCTGATTTCCTATCCAAACTTATTTCCTACTACTAGAGAAAGCCTACCTGTGTGTTAATAATCATTAACTTAGTCCTATGGACCTGTGTTAGTAATTCCCACCTTTGCTCACATGTCTATGTGCCCATGACAAGGCTGTCGTTCTCTCCTCATTCCCCTCACCCATCTGAATTATTTCCCATTCTTCAAAGCTTCTCCCCATAGGTATTATTGTCCATACTTAACACTGATTTCCCATTTCTATCAGCCGAAATTTTCCAAGACTTAGTTCAAATGTCATCTCTTCAATAAATACATTTTCTGACCTCCCCTAGCTAAAAAAGAACTCTCATAGAACTCTCTAATTTTCCTACGCAATTATAATATTCAAATTCACATTCTGCTGACATACATACTTCTTAAGTAGAATGTAAGCTATTGAGAGTTAGGAACCATTCCTGACAGTGATTTATCTCTCTCCAAATAACCTTGCACATAATGGTTTATTGTTTATTGAATGAAAATGTTACATAATTTCACACAGAAAACAAGATTATTTTGCCCTTGAAAACAAGACGGTCTTGTGTCTTCACAGCAGGAAGTATTCTATAAATGCCTGTTGAATTTAACTATCAATTTCCTCTTTACCAATAATAGCATATTCTACTAAAATACATACCTATATTCTTCAAAGCACCTTGCATTTAGCAGTCTCAAATATTTGATTTTCTCCTCTCCAGCTCCACCAAATCATGTAAAGTATCCCAGAGCCACTCATACTTCACACCAACCTTTCCATTCTTATAGCCAGCTCCTCTCCAGCCATCCCTTTGAAAATTCACTCCCATATCATAAGACCTGACATTCTCACATATACAGTTCCATAAGACCTAGGATCGTAATATATGTTCATATATACCCACTGTCAACTCAAAAAGCAAATTCGCCTGTTATTTTACTCTCATAATGAGTTTATTCAAGAATAGCCAAAAGCATTGCAATTCAAGATGTGCATGCTATGGCGAACCACAGGCAAATCCAGAGAACAAAGGATGGGAGGTTACTCTTTTTTTTTAAAGATTTTATTTATTTATTTATTTCCCCCCCAAAGCCTCAGTAGATAGTTGTATGTTATAGCTGCACATCCTTCTAGTTGCTGTATGTGGGACGCAGCCTCAGCACAGCTGGAGAAGCAGTGTGTCAGTGCGCACCCGGGATCCGAACCTGGGCCACCAGCAGCGGAGCACGCGCACTTAACTGCTAAGCCACAGGCCGGCCCCAGAGCTTACTTTTATAGAGACAAAAAGAGTAGGGTGGGGCTGGCATGGCAGCATAATGGTTAAGTTCACACACTCCGCTTCAGCGGTCCAGGGTTTGCAGGTTTGGATCCCAGGCATGGACCTATACACCATTTATCAAGCCATGCTGTGGCAGGCATCCCACATATAAAATAGAGGAAGATGGGCACAGACGTTAGCTCAGGGCCAAGCTTCCTCAGCAAAAAGAGGAGGATTGGCAACAGCTGTTAGCTCAGGGCTAATCTTTCGCACCAAAAAAAGAAAAACGGAGTAGGGAGAGGCTGTTCTAAAGGAAAGTCCATTGGGGGAAAGTAACAGTTCAGGGTGGCAATGACTTCTCATTGGCTGAGCTGTGGCATTTCTCATTGGCTGGGCTGTTGCTGGGAGGGGAGAGACATCTTCCTTCAGCAGTAAAGTAGCTCTACTTCCTGTCAGAGATGCAAGCTTATGTCTCTTCCTGTTTGGAATAATTGACATGTATGATAGGGCATGAGAGCTCCCCCTACAGGCCTTCCCAACTCTAATTTAGTTGAGATTTCTCTTATTTATTTCACACCATTGATCCATTTCTCCAAAACCCACTTTTCACTTAACAACTACTTATTAATCTAGTTTCATTTCTATTGAGTCTACCAGAAGATAAAGTCCCAACAAAGACATGAAGACACTTCAAAGACATGAAGTGTTACTGAGGTAGACTGCCTGCAAATGTGGCTGTCAATACCCCCTCACATTCCTATAATTACATGCTGATTCTCCGATCCAAAAATGGCAGGCATTTCCTCATAGCCATTTCCTCATAGCCGTGAAGCTAGGCTGGCCTGTGACCTACCGTGATCAATAGAATGCAGCACAAGTGACACGATGTGACTTCTTGGCCCATGTCTATCAAGCCTTGCAACTTCCACTTTGCCCTTTGGGATCAAGCCTCCATGTAAAGAAGTTTGGGCTAGACTACTGAATGATGAGACCACGTGGAAAAAGAATCTCAGCCACTGCAACTGAGGCACCAGGCATGTGAGTGAAGACATCTTGGACATTCTAGCTCCAGCCAAGCTCCCAGCTGAATGCAACAACTGACCACAGCCCACACCCAAAGGAGTAGAATTGCCCTGCCAAGTCCAGACAACCCAGAGAAGATGAATTAATAAATTAATTCTGAATTAACAAATAAATACATACATATAAAATAAAAACAAATAAATTGTTTTCAGTCACTAAGTTTTGGGGTGGATTGCTATGTAACAATAGATAATTGAAACAGGTACTTACTTTAAGGAATTTGGATCAAATAAGAGACCTAATCACCCTAATTCCTCTACCCTCAAATCCCAACTTGTATCTATAAGTAATTCATTTTCTTTAGTTTGCAATACTACTTTTATAAATAAAAAGTTAAAATAATTTTTAAAACATATTTCCATTCATTTCTTCAGGTTTTTCTAATTCTTGACAACCACACACACTCCAGAGTGTTATTACCATTTACACTTGCCCAACTCTGCACTAAATATTTTATGTGCCTAATTTCATTTATTCCTCACACAACTCTATGAGGAAAGTATTGTATTACTCCTACTTGACAGGTTAAAAAAAACTAAGGCTCACAGAAGTTAACTACTTTGCCTAGCATTGCATAAACAGAGTGGTAGAGCTTGAGTTTAAACCCAGACCTGTCTGATTCCAAAGGCCATATTCACCAATAGCCTATACCAGAGACTAGCCATTATCAACCCTCCAAGAAACACAAATAGCACTTTTAACCCACATAAAAGATTTCTTTAAAAGCAATACATCAAATACTTTCCTTATTTCATTCTGCAAATATTTATTGAGAGTCTATTTTAGGCACTGCAGACATCCTAAATTTAACCCTAATCAATACACGATTCTAGAAATTGTAGCGACATTTTTCTCCTCTCGAGTAATGTCAAACTTATTTGATTCACAGCCAAGTAAGTTTTTAAAAGTCAGAAAAGCAGATAGTGTCCTACTTCATTCTAGCTAGATCTACCTCGCCACCTCCCAACAGATCTGTGTTCTCTCACCACACACCACTCATCACTCGTCTCTGCCCCAGTGGAAATGCTTTCTCTGCTTACTGAAATCCAATCTCTTGTATGAAGCCTCTCCCGATTAGGCCAAATATATTCTCTTATCTAGGTCATTTATTGTCCACATCAGTGCTTTCCACACATGGCTAAATTCACCCGACAGCTTTTACAATTAGAATTACCTAAATTTAAAGGAGTCATACTTTGAAAAAGCAAAAGCCTGGAAACAATCTAAATGTCTATCAAAATGGAACTAGTTAAATCATTACGGTACATAATGTGAGGATATAAAACAGTATCCAAGGTATATTAAGCGAAAAAGGTACAGAACAGTGTGCACAGAATCTTTTTTTAAAAGGAGATAGTTAATAAACTTCACATGCACAGTGTACGTCCAGAAGGATTAAAAAGACTTGTAAGAGTAGTTGCCTCTGAGAAGCACAAAAAAACAGGCCGTGAGAAAACTTTTCATCTGATTACCCTTTTGTAATTTTTAAATTTTGTGTTGTTTGTATAGATACATTTTTTGTAATTATTAAAAAAACACACACAGATGCATAAGACTCAGCTCAGCTCTACAGGTCACAAATCTTTGGGGGCAGGGCCCAGGCCTTTGAAATTATTAAACCACCCAGATGATTCTGATGATCAGTCAGGCTGGGGAACCACCCTTGCAAACCACTCATATGGTCCTTAATGCCTCATATTGAAGTGTACATGTGAGAATATAACTTGATACCCCTAACTGGAAAAGCATATGGAGGGAATGGGAAGGATATATTATGCTTTTTTGTTTTTCCTACAGTTCTCAGCTCAGAAAAGTTACCCAATAAATATTTTTTTATGAGAATAGTGCAGAAGTACAACTCCATTTTTCTACTACATTTCATTCCAGTATGGAAAGGTTTGTAAAAGCACATTTAACATAACAGCATTATGGGGCAATTAAAAATTACCACTTTCAGGGGCCGCCCCGTGGCTTGGCGGTTAAGTGCGCGCGCTCCGCTACTGGCGGCCTGGGTTTGGATCCCGGGCGTGCACCGATGCACTGCTTCTCCGGCCATGCTGAGGGTGCCTCCCACATACAGCAACTAGAAAGATGTGCAACTATGACATACAACTATCTACTAGGCCTTTGGGGAGAAAAAGCGGGAAAAAAAAATTACCACTTTCTATACATGAAGGGCCAAATGTCCAAAAATGCCAACAATAATCTTTTTTAAAGGCCATAGGTATGGCTAGACCGCAAAGGGCAAGTGGTGAAGTCCAAACGTAAGACTTAGGGAAGGGTCAGACTGCATAGTCTACGTGAACAGGTAAAAACAGCATCTAGAGGAAAACAAAGTGTGTGGATAACAGATTCCAAAGAAGCCCCATTTTATTACAGAGAGCATACAAATCCCTTTCCTCTTAAGGGAAAGTACTGTCCCTCTTCTGCTGGGGGATAGATGTGCCTCTTCCACAGCTCCCAGCTTTCTCTTCTACCGATACTTTCCATGTCGGTTAAAGTGTTTGTAGAGATAGCTGATGCGTTTGTTAAGGTTGTGCAGGTCATCAATGAACATCCGATTTCCAACCATTTTCTTCTTTCGGATACAACGCTGCAATTCATTCCCCTTCCAGCCTCGAAGCCATCTGGGGCCCCTGATCAGTTCTTTGGGGTGCTTTTCAAAGTTTCCTGTGTAATGCGAGAGAACATATTAGCTCCAAGATGAGAGAACCCACCCTCCACCAGCTAAGCTTTCAACACACAGTTGCATCCTCCTGAGCAACACCCATTACACTACAGTATCAAGAGAACACACTCTGGAGGTAGACTGCTTGGGGTTCAATTCTTGCACTCCCATTTACTAGCTTTGAAAAATTACTTAACCTCGCTGTGCCTCAGTTTCCTCACCTGTAAAGTGAAAAGGTTATTATGAGGATTAAATGAGTTAATACATGTAGGGCACTCAGAACAGTGCAGAACACAACGTAAACAGCCACACAAGTGTTTGCTCTTACGACTGACAAAGGTACCATTCCTACACAGGTGAAAAAAAGATAGTCGCTACGGCATAATTGCCATTCTGAAATCCTGTACCATGAAGTCGAGTCTTACCCAGGATCCCAACGTTGTCATACACCCCGAACATGGCCCTCTTCTCGTTCCAACGATCAACTATTTTGGGGGGCGGGAGGGTGACCCTTACATGGAACAATCCAGGAACACCTAGGGATGGGGAAGAAAGGGAATGAATCTGAGCCGCTTACTGAGAAGCAGTTCTCTGGCCGTCTTTCCACATCAGCCACTTACCCAGAGAGAAGCTTCTGCAAGCCAGGGGCACCCAGCCCCTTAAGCCCCTGCCTGCCATCCAAGAGAGGCTCCCTGCCATGGCTCTCGTCTCCGCCCTACAACAGCACACCGCACGCGCAGAAGAGCGAGGGCCAGACGTAGTCTTCAAGGAAAGCACAGGGACTGCCCCAGCCGGCCTCACACGGGTACTACACGGAGGCAGCCATCTTGGGCTTTACCCAGGCAGCTCCGGGCGCAGGGCCCGCCTTGACCCCGCCTCCCCCACCACAAGCCCCACCCTCCGGGTTCCGGCTCGCGGAGGCCTCTACACCTCACGCCTCCAACCCGCCCGCCTAGGCGCTTCCGGCCTCCGCGCCGGAAGCTCTGGAGCGCCAGGCTTGCTCAGGGATTCATCTCGTCGTTATCCAGGGCGCCTCAAAACTGAATTTCAAGAAAACTCACCCTTTCCTGTTTCCTTGGGCATCCCTCAACTGTGAGGGAGATGAGGGTCCAGAACCTGGGACCCAAAGCTTCCTGTCTCTGTGCCTCACAGCAGCTTTGCGCTGTAGCTGTTATTAGCCCTATTCTACTGGGGAGGAAATCTGAGGCTCAGAGTGAAGTGACCTGCTGGACGTCACACAGCAGACGAGATGGCGGAACCTGGATTAGAGCCTAAACCTTCTAACTCCCGGCCTGGACTCGCCGCCTGTCCTGGGGGTGACTGAGTGGGTCTCTATCCCAGGGGCACTACCACTGCCCACCTTGATACGCGGCATTTCTGGCAGGCACTGCCCGGGTCTCCTCCCCACCGACCGAGGAAGAGGAGGACCCAGTGGGCGGGAGGCAGCCGCAGGACTACGGGGGCTGGGGACGGGGGGCTGGAGTCCGAGTCTAGGCCCCGCCCCTCCCTCGGCGACGCCGCCGGGCTTTCCGGCTCCTGGGCTGTGATTGGCCTGTTTCTGCAGCGAGCGTCGCGATTGGCCCCCTTGCGGCCGTTGAGTTTTGAACTCCTGTTTGCGGTTTTGCCCGCGCGGCGCGGGGCTTTGAGGCGGGTTTTTGCCTCCGCCTGCCGGGGATTGGCCGGTTTCTCTGCCCTCTTGAGTGCTGCCTAACTGATTGGTGCGCACTGTGCACCCCGTGTTTTCTCGTTTGTTTCAGCCCCACAACCCGAATCGGAGGAACGGAGGGTGAGGTTCTCGGGTAAGGTGTGATGTTAGTGGGGAGCAGGGGATGAAGGGCCGGGAAGATCGGGTCCGGGGCAGTGGGCCGCGGTGGTAGCAGCGTGCGAGAGGCAGGCGGTCTGGTGGGTGTATCCTTGCGGAACGATGTGGTAGAAACAGGATGTCTGGCATCTGCAGCGGAATTGGGGCAAATCGCTTAAACCTTTCTTAGCCTCGATTTCCTTATCTGTAAATTGGCTTGTATTATTTTGCATTCCATGAGATTGGAGTTTGGAGAATTAGATCAGATATGATATATTCAAATAGCCCAGCAAAATCTGGCGCAGAGTAAACAAGCAGTAAGTGTTAATACCCTCCCATCTGGAGCCAGGAAACCCACTAGCCGTGCTGGGCCACTGTTCTGGCCTCAGGTGAGACATTCTATACTTAAGTTTTGCCCATAAAAACAGAAATAATAATGCTAACTTAACGCATTGGTATGCCACTTTACAGTTTTTTAAACACTTTCATACCCCTTGACTCATTTGATCCTCAGAGCAACTTTGTAAAGTAATCAAAGATTAGTAATCCTGTCTTACAGATGAGGCCCAGGGGGTTAAGTGACATGACCAAGTGGCTGAGTCGCAACTAGAAATTAGATTCTACTCCAGGGTCCATCTCACATCCTCTAAGATAATGTTATCAGCTTGATGTAAGACTGAAAAAGCATTATATGTTGGAAGAGGGGGTGAAATAATGGGATCAGGTAAAAAGGCCTTAAATACAGACCCTGACCTGTTGGCTGTTTGGTTTCCAGCCGGGTGAGCCAGTGGGAGAAGGATGTCTCCCCAACTGTTTGAGTTCCGTCTGCCCTTATCCCTGGAGGAATTGTTGAAAAGTGGAGGAGTGAATCAGTATGTTGTTCAAGAGGTACTGTCCATCAGAAATCTTCCCTCACAGCTTAGAGGTAAGACTCCATAGCTGCCGCTGTGCCTAGCACTTCAGAACAACCCTCCCACATGTAATTTATCGTCTCTCTGTTCCACTACACCACTAAGCTCCATGAGGGCAAGGAACGTCTTTCCTATTCCATACTGTTTTCTCCCTAGCACTGTGTACAGGAAGAGTACACTCATTGACTACCTTCTCTCAGTTGTTCAGTAAACAGTCTTGGTGTATATGGTTACTTTTGGGGGAAAAAATTATTTTAGATCTTTATCTCTTACCATATGCCAAAATAAAGTCCTGGTGGATTTAAGAATTATAGGAGAAGATAGCTTTCTCAGAATGTCTGGGACTTGACCTGACCTGTTTCAGGTAACACTTTTTTGGAGTCTAGATCTCTTGTTTCCAAGAGTGTTCAATAATCCAAAAAAACATAATGTATATGTACAGCTGGAACACTGTACAGTATATGTACAATGCAATTACCTGTTGAAACCTATAGATGACCCAGAACAGTTTATGCATTATCAGCAAGACCTGTAATGTCACTGTACTTATTGGAAATGGTCTTGTATCCGTTAGTTTGCTTTGGAGGGGTACATAGAGTAGAGACTAAGACTCTGGAGCCAAGCTGCCTGAAGTTGAATCCTGGCTCTACCACTCTGACCTTGGACAAGTTACTTATTCTCTTTGTCTCGGTTTCTTTATCTGTAAAGACAGGGATAATAACCTACTGCATTTGTTATCTGCTACAACAAGAAGGGGTGGTTAATGCAGCAGCTTGATAATATAACTCCAGCTTGTCTCTTGGCCTTCCCATCATGATTGCCAGGTGGCAGCTCTTTGCTCTCATGTCCAGAGGTAGAAAAGGGGATTTCCTATCTTGTTCTTTTTCCTTTCTTCTTTCTCTTTTTAAAACTTTACCAGAAGCCTCCCAACCAGAATTGGATCATGTGCCTATTTCCCTAACTAATTACTGGTAAGGGAAATAGAATTACCCAGATTGGCTAAATTGATCAAGATTATTACCTAGGAGCCTCCCCAAACCTGGGCATATCACCATTTGGTAAGCAAGGAACAAGCTGGAGTGTGGAGGTTGACTGATGGGTGGCCAGCCAACAATGTCCATAGATAAACTGTTCTCTCCATGTTGTGTGGATATGTGTATCACCAATTGCACATGCTGTACAAGATAGCAAACTCTTCTTCAGTTATTATAATGCATTATTTTTTTAAATGGATGATCACTCTCTTTAAGGGTTCTTTTTTTAACAATTGCTTTGCTTTTGGTGTTTAGAACCCTAAATACAAATTCTACTATAAATATACAAGATAAAATCTAATTTGTGCAACAGGTATTTACTAATGATATGCTATTTGCCAGGCAGTGTTCTAGGCACTGGAGATACAACAGTAAACAAAACAGACAAGATGACAAAGTTCTTTCTCTCAAGGCTCTCACCAAGTAATTAATAAATATGGAACATGTCAGATGGTTGTTTAAGTGCTAAGGAGAAAAATAAATCAAGATAAAAAGGATACAGTGTGCCAGGGTAGGGACTGGCATTTTATGTTGGATGATCAGAGAAGGCTTGCTGATAGGTGACATTTAAGCAGAGACCTTAAAAGTGAAGACTGTGCAGATTCTCAAGGAATGGCATTCCAAGCAGACAGAAGAGCAGTGCCAAGACCTGAGATGGGAAAGTGCCAATATGGTTGGAGTGGAGGAGGCTAGGAAAAAAAGAGGTCAGGTGGGAAGTGGTGCAGATTATTCTAGAGTCTTGTTCCTCAAAGTGTGGTCTTCAGACCAGCAGCCTTAGAATCATGATTTAGGAGCTTATTAGAACTGCAGGATTGGGCCAGCCCCGTGGTTTAGCGTTTAGGTGAATGCACTCTGCTGCTGGCGGCCCTGGTTCGTATCCCGGGCGCGAACCGACACACTGCTTCTCTGGCCGTGCTGAGGCTGCGTCCCACATACAGCAACTAGAAGGATGTTCAGCTATGACATACAACTATCTACTGGACCTTTGGGGGAAAAAATAAATAAAATTAAAAAAAAAAAAAAAGAAGTGCAGGATGAAGACCCACCCCAGAACTACTGAATTAGAAAATCCATATTTTAAGGTAATTCGGATGCACACTTAAGTTGGAGAAGCTCTGATCTAGAGCCTGATAGGTCATGGTGACCGCTTTAGCTCCAGTGTGAGTGAATTTGAAAGCCGTTGGGTTTTCAGCACCAAATGACATGGTCTGATGTTTTAAAAGTATCCCTGTCTACTGAGTTGAGCAGAGACTAGGAGGGGCAAGGGAAGAAGCGGGGAGACCAATTAAGAGACTAATACAATAATACCAGGTAGCTTGACTGGGGTGATAGCAGCAGAGGTGATCATAAAATATATTCTGAATATATTTGAAAGTAGAGCCAACAAGATTATTGATGGATTGAATTTATAGGGTTGGAGAAAGAAGAATCTAGGATTACAAGGCTTTTTGACTTGAGCAACTAGAAGAATGGAGTTGTTGTTTGCTGCGATGGGGTAGACTATGAGTGGAGCAGGTTTAGACTGTAGGTTAGATGATTGTAGAGTGCAGGGGAGAGGTGCCAGCTGAAGATAAGAATTTGGGGTTTAATATTCAGTGTGTGGAAGGCATTTAAAGCTGTGAGATTGGAGTGAATGTAGATGGAGAAGAGAAGCGATTTGAAGATGTAAGACCTGAGACAGTCCAACATTTAGAGACTGGGAAGGTGAAAAAGAACCAGTAGAGGAAACTAAGGACCAGTCATTGAGGCAAAAAGTGAACCAAAGAGCTAAATGGAAGGCAAATTAAGAGAACATTTCAAAAAGGAAAGGAGAGATCAACTGGAAGTTAATACTGGACTTAGCAATGTGGCGATTGCTGGTAACCTTGATAGAAACTGTTTCAGAGGCGTGGTGGGGACAAAAGCCTGATTGGAATAGGTTTATGAGACAATGGGAGGAGAAAGATTGGGGATGGTGAGCTTAGATACCTGTTGTTTTGCTTTAAGGAGAAGCAGAGAAATGGGGTGGTAGCTAGAGGGGGAGGTAGAGTCAAGGGAAAATTTTTTTGGTAAGCTGAGCAGCATTACGTGTGTATATGCTGAATAGGAATGGTCAGAGAGAGGGAAAAGCTGATGATGCAGGAGGGA